ATCCAGATTGTTCTTCGCGGATGTGACGATCTCTCATCCAAAATTAGCCTGAAAAGGATCAACGATGTACTCTGTGTTGACCATGGGGTTCACCTCCCTCCTTCAAAATAGGTCCAATCCCTGTACACCTTAGATATTTCCACTAACCTTGTATACATTACGAGTTTGGCTGCGATCAGTATTTCTCTGTACGAGAATGAGCGAGCTTCTGAAATCCTCAGTGTGGTCGGGGGTGGGTGTCTAGGGTTGCGNTGATCACTCCTCCCTTACACCTCACGAAATGCTCCCAAACGACCAAGCGTCTGGAATAGCCTCTACTGAGGAAGCCCTAGTCACTGCGTTCTCGTGGCGAAGTGTTTTCCCAGGAAAGTGAAAGGACGAAAAGCCGACATCCGGGACTATAACCGGGTTGGTGGACCACTGTTAGCTCACCTGGGGGAGTTGGCCAAAAACCCTGATTCCAAACCAACCAAGAGGAGGCGTACGAACCACACCCACACCTTTTCGGTTGTGATAGTGGTCACCGGCTCGATTGGGCATCGAGGTGTATTGGGCACCTTGGACGTTTGACCTCATCCGGCGGGCGAATGATCCGACGAACTGGGCACCGGCTCCCAATGGATTGCGGTTTTCGCACACCGCCCCGCTGCCTTGCAGGTCAGGCTTTGGCTAGCCGAAGGCTCCGGTTGTGGATTCCTCAAGAGAAGTCACCCACCTTGGTCTTTGCAACCTGGCAGTATTCGACCCACATGCAAACCATGGCACTTCCTTCTTTTTCATGAAGAGTATTGTACCATGATTTTTTTGGCGCAAGATCTGGATTCTTACATGTGTGAAAATATATATTAGTGTATAATTTTTCATGACTGCAGTTGGCCGGTGCATAGGCTGAAATCATGAACAAACCTCTTTTGGTGTTGCTTCCTTTCCGACACTGATAGGTGCTTGGGGCCGCATCACACTGTTGACCGGAATCTAATCGAGTAATGCAGCTTCGGCTGTTTTATTGAGTACAATGCCCACGCCACATTGGCCTACTGACCGGGCTTTTCCATCAACTGACGTGCGGAGCAAGAACCTCGAAGACAATCCCGGTGCACTTAAGTGGCTTATAGTAGTAGGATCCTGGATTCGCGTCTCCGCTACGCAGAAGACATCAATCCCCAAGGAATCCATTGTACGCGCCAGACATGCTCGTTGACTTACCTTCATCAGAGTCCTCAAGTTGAAACCTCCGAGTTCATTCTTTGACGAGGCATCAGAATCTGCAATCTATTTAGTGGTAAACTGCTCTCCGAGCTACTTGGCGACGAAGTTTGACAAGTGACGAAAAAGTTGTCTGAGTGAATGTTACGGGTCGGAAGAAAGGATAAAGGGGTAGGGTTGAGTACGAAAAACAAAGAGTTGGATAAAGGTTGGGATATCTGAGCAGTAGTCCACTTATCACTACCCACCGTGCTCGATGCAGTAGCCAGCGCTGTCCTGATTAACCTGCGCGACGACCGATACAGTATGGAAGTACGTTGTATTTGTTTGTGATGTCGTCCAAAGCCTTTAGTTCTAACAAGAACCTAACCGCAAGGCAGCGGGTAAAGCGAAGTATAGGCCCATTAACTTGGATCGATTGCTCCACCATTTTACCGACTGAGAGGCTAACTCGAGTCGAATCCCCAACTTAGAGGACCAGGACCACCCATCCGATATCACTCAGTATTTCACCAGTAAGGCCAAACAATCAGAAGTTATAGGCTTTTTGGAGCCACAATTATCCTTTCAGCTAGCCGCGTCCGCACATTATCAGATCGGACAACGTATGTAAGTTGTGTCTCCGCAAGAATTATAGAAGACACTAATTCAGTTATCACCTTGTGTTCTCTCGGCCCGACCGCATTTTCATTCCCCGTGTGTCACGCGAGTCGGCATACAAAGCTCGTGATGTTGCTGGTATTGAGATTGTACTAAGTGCCAAAGATGAGCGCTCGATTCTGGACCGGATTNTTCCGGTTAATAGCGGAATGTTCGCTGCACGTCTGAATGGTTCAGCACGGGCCGACAGGTACGGAGCGTAGTGTGAATGCCTATTCGTTGTATCGGTGTATGCACCGATCGATCGCAGTGAATCTGAAATCAAAGACGAATTCTTAATAACTCCAAATTGTTAAATCCGGTTCAATACCACGCCTAACCTATCGGGGCCTTATGTGTGGTTCGCCACTCTAAGTCCCGGGGCTTAGGTTTTCGGTTTCCACCACTGAACAGCAGATCCTCGTGACTATGGGGTTCACCCCGTCTGCTGTTGATCACACTTAGGTATGTAATTAAAAAATGCACGTCCTAGTAGTCGTAGGAAACTTCAATGCTCGAGTGGGATCCCTGAACTAATCAAAAAGTCTTCTTGGTGGTCCACATGTAATCCCAGGCAACCGGTCGGATAACGGAAGTCGCCCACTTCAACTTTGCGCCAACCACGAATTGTTCCTGTCAAGCGCCAACTTCTCGCACGAGGAACGACACCACCTTAAATGGAAATCGCCAACCCTTTCAGAGCGCTGAACCCAAATCTACCACACCGCCGTCAGTTACCGCTGGAGGGTATCAATTCAAGAATACCGTTCCCAATGGTCAACACCTGTGGATACGAACCAGATTCTCCTTACGCCTGGTAAAGAACTGCAGAAAAACCGTCGGCAACGGATACCCACTATACAATGTGAGCAATAGTTGCGAATCGAGGCGTTGCTCTCTAATCGGCTATCAGTTCAACCACCAGCCGCACTCAATGAACATTGAGAGCATATCAAGGAAGCTATGCAAATATCGATAAAAAACGGCGGTGGACTCTGGCGCAGGCTCAAAGCACAAATGATAGATCTCACCGGCTTCGGATGCCTTGCCGGACGCTCAGCGAAACTTTTCTCCAGGTGCCAAGTATGACGGTGCACAAATCTCTCGACGCTGGTTCGTCAAGAGTTTGAGGAATAACTGCGAGGAGTGTTGAATTACAAAGTGTAGATATAGAACTGTGACTATTCGTATTGAACCGGACCACAGCAGAGCTGCCTACCACCAAAGTCTGGTGGCGGTGGTGTGAATCGGTCATCATACCGACTTACAAGAAAGTTGAAGAATCCTCTTGTGAAAAATTCTTGTTGGTGTTACACTTCGTCATTTGTCTACCGCAATTGAACGGCGCACGCGGAGGTTTAAGCTGGTTTTAGACATGTCCGAGGTTGTATCAACCATATTTTCATTCTTTGTCAATCAGATACTCCTTGTGTAGACTCACCATTTCTGTCTCCCTTGATCTGAAAGTGGTTGTAAAAACTTAAACTTCGACTCAGTGGACCACTCTTAACTCTGGCGCTGCCTTGCTGTGAAGGGTGCCCGAGAAGTTAATTTCAATTTTGCGATCTCTTTCTACCAACAGCCGAAGCTGAGTTTGGGCTTACGACACGTTTTCGCCCTAGTTCACCACAGAAAGTAGTGTTCGTCAGGGTATCCCTCTCCTTTTGTGTTTAACTTTGTTATGGGTTTGATAATGGAACCAACCCTATACTCATGCGAGGATAGTGGCATTAATTTGCTCCAAGATGAGACTGTGATCTGGAGTATGCGGACGACATAAGGCTGCAATCTTTTTTGGATAGGTTAAGTGCTAGTGTAGCCATGTTCGGTATACGTTTTGCACCTTCAGTGTGCAAAATATTGCTACAAGACTGGATTGGTTCAGCTCCCAACCTCACTCCAACTGCCAAAGTAATAAACATGGTAAACAAATTTTGCTACTTCGGCAGCTACATCCCACCCGGTGGACCAACCACAGATGAAGTGTCTGCTCGTTTACAGAAGACTTGATTGGCGCCGTGGCGACATCTGTCTGTCTGTGAAGAGTGGAGTGTATGCTGCAGCAGTTCGGTTAATTTTGCCATACGGTTCACAGACTTAACCATGATGAAAACAGGAGAAAGACTGTCGGTGTTCGAACAATGCTGTGTACGCAGCATTGCACAAGTCTGGCGGGGTAACCAGACAAGCAATGCTGATGTTATGTGTAGGGTAAGCGGTAACAGCGGTTGCCCGCTGGGGCAAATGGTCGACTTCCATCGATTTCGTTGGTTAGGACATGTGTTACGCATGTCACCAAATAAATTGCCTCAAAGCGCGATGTTTGCCGATGGGGTGGATTAAGGGCGGTCAAACTAAGCCCTGGGATAAAGGTATGAAAACCCCGATCAGGAGACTTGTTCGCATAGGTCGTGTTAGTCTTTCTGGATGTGAACATCGAGATCATTGTAATTGAGGGTTAGAGACACAGTGAAATGGCTGTGTCGTAAACAATGGTGCTCGCGCATTTATTCCATATTCCTGAAGTTTTACTATTCCTCAATTCTTTATTTTCATTCTGACACTGATTTAAACATTCTAGTCTTCCTTTTAATCCTTTATCAAAACGGGAAACTAAGATATTGCAACCCAAACCGGCATGGGAAAGTATATGACTGATTCTTGTACAAGCTGAAACTAAAACTTAAACGATCTTTCGTCTTGTTTCTGATTCATCCTTAGCACCCATTCTCCATTTCACCTACATCGCCGTGCTATCGCTCTATTATCCGTCTTCTACCTTGTTTACCAGGGTTTTTCTCTCTCTTAAGCTTCCCAATCTGGTTCATCCTTCACTCCAATTTCCTCACAAAATACCTTTCACGAGCAATAAGACACCATCATCATGTGACTGTAAAAGCCTGCCAAACGGTGGTTTTCTCGAAGAGCCTCGGAATTGAGAAGCATCTATTCTTAGTTTGAAATCGTTACTTAGAACCCGGAGTTTGATGCGCTCAATGCAAGTGAATCATTTTGCATCTCATTGGAGTTTAATGGCTTATCCAATGATGCTTGTGCGCCGTAGCCCCTTGTCATTCGTTTACCAAACTCATCAAAGTATTTTCTTTAGGTTACTTGTTTGAGGCGTATTTTCAATAGTTTTCAACCATTCGACAATGACGAGTAAAGTGGATCCTGATGTCAAGAAGGTACGTGTGATTCCTATGGTCAAAGTGTAAAAAACGACAGGCGATTGAAGCCCATCGGCAACAAACTATCACAGCCAATCAACAAATTGCTATCTTGAATGCTCAGTTAGAGGGATTAAGCGTGAAGCATAGGCGATCAGAACTGATTGAGCAGGAATTAAAAACCTTACCTGAAGACGTTGTAACTTATAAGGCGACGGGACGCATGTTTGTTCTCGAATTGTATTCTGATAATTCTTTTAATTAGGTTTATCAGACGAGATATCCCTGTTATTCTCGAAGGTCTTCTTCAGGAACGATCCTCAATCACGGAAAATATGGAATTACTAAAGGTAAGTTGTGATTTTTATCTGATTTTCCAGTTTCAGAACAACAAAGAGGCTGTGTCCAAAAGCCTGGCTGAGTCCAAAGAAGCACTACGAGAACTCCTCAATTCGAAACAACATTCCTGACTTCATCGCGGGGGCGATTGTATCGAGGATAATCTGTGAAACCGCCAGGCCTAATCGAAATATATTATTTGCTGATCTTATTGGAGTCACGTAACATCGCGGGTTTAAGGCAGATCTGCTGGAGGTCTCTTCGTCTGTGAACCATTTCTAGTGGCCAATTGGAACTGGTGAATGCTTTAATCCTGTGTATAACGCTACAAAAATCAAGTAGGTACTAAACCATGTGGGTGGTATTTAATGTTCACCACGGCGAGACTGCACCGTGACGTGGTGTGATGGCTTGCGTGCCTCAATGACCTTGCTGGCTACACAGGATGGCTTCTCACAGCCGTAGATCCAATCATGCCTGAAAGGTCAACGGGTAGATGCCAGACGAAGCTCAGTCTCACAAAGCCAGTTGCTTGGGCACCTCCGGGCTTCCTTCCTTCTA